CAGGTATTCTTCAGTGCCGGGCGAGGGGGAAGCAGGAAGTGAGATATTGCAGCACAGAGGAGCACCTGAATAAGCCCCACTCATGGAGCGTTAGAGAAGGCTTCCTGGAGGAGGTGGCATTGAGATTCGCTAGGTAGTGAGGTAAGGGCAATGCAGAGGCATGAAGGCGAGAAAGTGTACACTGTGTTTTGTGGCCTGTCTGGGGTTCATTGTGCTGAAGTATGTGAGTGTATGTGACAGACAGACAGATGGGGTGGTGTCAGTCATTAGAATGAAGCTGGGGAGACGAAGAGGGTCTGGATCCTGTCTGGCCTTTATTCAGAGGGCAGCAAGGAGACACGGGGATGTTGAGCAGGGGAACGACATCCTAGCGCTTGCACGTTGGAGACACCCCTGGCTACTGCTAGGTGAATGGATCGGAGGAGGCCACAGTGGAGGCAGGATTGTCAGTGAGGAGGCTGATTTTATTTTATTTTTAAGACAGGGTCTGGCTTAGTTACCCAGGCCGGAGTGCTGTGATGTGATCTTGGCTCACTGTAACCTCAGCCTCCCAGGCTCAGACAATCCTTAGCCTCCTGAGTAGCTGGGACTACAGGCACGCACCACCACACCTGGCTAATTTTTGTATTTTTTAGTAGAGATGGGTTTTTGCCATGTTGCCCAGGCTGGTCTCCTTGGCTCAAGTGATCCTCCCACCTCGGCCTCCCAAAGTGCTGGGATTATAGGCATGAGCCATTGCGCCTGGCCAGAGGCTGATTTTAAATGTCCCTTCTCTGTGAAATCTTCCCTGGCTAGACCTTCTCACATTCCCTCTTTTTTTGTCACTTATGTAACATTCTGGAGCTTGTCCTTACCTTGTTTTTTTTTGTTTTTGTTTTTTGTTTTTGTCCTTTTTTTCATCTTCGTGAATCACCATTCCATGGGAGCAGGGTTTTTTATTTGTTTTGTTCACTGCTGTGTCCCCAGCGCCTGGCCCAGAACCTGGTATATAGATGCTTGATAACTGTGTATTGGAAGGAAGGAAGGGCCACAGTCATGGGGACAGAGACAAGAGGATGTACATACTCCAGTGATACTTGACATTTTGACTGGGCCCTTTCTGGAGGACAGACCTCCTGTGCACAGCAGCCCTTCTCTGGGAGGACATCAGCATGCACTTTGCCAGTGCGTTCCTGGCCCTTTTCGTGGCTCGCTGCACAGGATGGATTTGCAGATTTGGGGGCTAAGGTCACATTCCGGAAGATGCTGGAAGGTATCAGGACCAGCCCACGCCCCTCGCCACATGGTGGCATTCCCAGGAAGTGGCAGCCAGAGACTGAATAAATGACTGATAAGCTCTCTGATCGAATTTTAGGGCGTAATTATGAAAGATCTTCAACAGCTGTTAGAATGAATCAACGCCTCTGAATCTGGGAGAAAAGCTGCCAAACTGTTTGGTTTTGAATGGAAGTGCTTTTCTTCCCTTCTCTCTTGTGAATCGCTCGGATTTCCCCAGGAGGCTTCAAGCTCCATGGCTGTGTCCTCAGCACCAAGCACAGAACCTTGCGCTTGGGAGGGAGGCAGTGAGAGTTGGCGGAAGTAGGGTCAGAAGGCTGGATAAATTAATGCTTTCGAATGACTCCTGCTGAATTTCAGCACCTGTTGCTCTTGGGTGACTCCCTTCTCAAATGATTTTTTTCCTGCACGAAATGGCAGAAAATGGGAATTTTGCACTTTGCAAATTAAGCTTGGGGAGATCAAGCTTGTGGAGTTGGCAGGTTCAGCAACAGTAGAGAAACACTCATTGCTAGTCCACTTCTGGGGTCAGACTGATGTCCCCTCTCTCACAGTCCTACCACAGCCTCCTGACCTCCCCAGATGGATGCCTTGTTTTCCATCTGTTCAATGTGCTGCCCTCCATGATAACTTACATACATACGAAACTAGAGGTGGCTCAGACTTGGTTTCCCTTCTTTCTCTGGGGAGGTCTTGTTGACTTGGCTTTGGTCATAATGCTCAGCTAATATACTGTTTAATAAAAGAGGCAAGGTGGCCGGGTGCGGCGGCTCACGTCTCTAATCCCAGCACTTGGGAGGCCGAGGCAGGCGGATCATGAGGTCAGGAGATCAAGACCATCTTGGCTAACATGGTGAAACCCTGTCTCTATTAAAAATACAAAAAATTAGCCGGGTGTGGTGGTGTGCACCTGTAATCCCAGCTACTGGGGAAGCTGAGGCAGGAGAATCGTTTGAACCCGGGAGGCAGAGGTTGCAGTGAGCCGAGATTGCGCCACTGCACTCCAGCCTGGGCGACAGAGCAAGGCTCCATCTCAAAAAAAAAAAAAAAAAAGAGGTTGGGTGTGGTGACTCATGTCTGTAATCCCAGCATTTTGGGAGGCCGAGGCAGGTGGATCATGAGGTCAGGAGTTCAAGACCAGCCTGACCAACATAGTGAAATCCCGTCTCTACTAAAAATACAAAAAAAAAAAAAAAAAAAATTAGCCAGGTGTGGTGGTGGGCATCTGTAGTCCCAGCTACTTGGGAGGCTGAGGCAGGAGAATCACTTGAACCTGGGAGGCAGATGTTGCAGAGAGCCGAGATCGCGCCATTGCCCTCTAGCCTGGGTGACACACCGAGACTCTGTCTATAAATAAATAAATAGCCAGGTGTGGTGGTGGATGCCTGTAATCCCAGCTTCTCAGAGGCTAAGGCACGAGAATCACTTGAACCTGGAAGGCGGACTTTGCAGTGAGCCAAGATTGTGCCACTGAACTCCAGCCTGGGCTACAAAGTGAGACTGTCAAAAAATAAATAAATAAATAAATAAATAATAGTGAACATGTCCACCCCAAGAATAAATAGCATCTAGCCTCTCTGTGAGTGGGCTTCACAAATGTTTTCGAAGAGGCTAACATCTCTTAAATCAAGTGTAACATATGTGATTTAAAAGAAGGCTTTAAAGCATACAGTTAAATTGGTTTCCTTGTATTTTACAGCAGGTTAAATGAAAACCTGAGAATCATGGGTTTCTAGGTTTGGCTAGGACTTTAAAATATTACGGAGCCATCTACTATGGTGGTTTAAAAACTCCTTTTACTAGGCTGGGCATGGTGGCTCAATCCCAGCACTTTGGAAGGCTGAGGCAGGAGGATCATGAAGTCAGGATCTCAAGACCAGTCTGGACAACATAGTGAAATCCTGTCTGTACTAAAAATATAAAAATTAGCCAGGTGTGGTGGCATGCACCTGTAGTCCCAGCTACTCAGGAGGCTGAGGGGAGAGAATTGCTTGAACCTGGGAGGCAGAGGTTGCAGTGACCTGAGACCACGCTATTGCACTCCGGCCTGGGTGGCAGAGTGAGACTCCGTTTCAGAAAGAAAAACAGGCTGGGCCCGGTGGCTCACGCCTGTAATCCCAGCACTTTGGGAGGCCGAGGCGGGTGGATCACGAGGTCAGGCGATTGAGACCATCCTGGCTAACACAGTGAAACCCCGTCTCTAGTAAATATACAAAAAATTAGCTGGGCGAGGTGGCCGGCGCCTGTAGTCCCAGCTACTCCGGAGGCTGAGGCAGGAGAATGGCGTGAACGCGGGAGGCGGAGCTTGCAGTGAGCCGAGATCGCGCCACTGCACTCCAGCCTGGGCAACAGAGCGAGACTCTGTCTCAAAAAAAAAAAAAAAAAAAAAATTAGCCGGGCATGTTGGCGGGCGCCTGTAGTCCCAGTTACTCGGGACTTGCTCTTGGTGACTCTTTTCCCAGGAAAATCCATGCAGAGAAGCATTCATTCCACATTTGGCAGGTGAGCTGGCGTGACAGTGTGAGGTTAATGTGGATGCAGCAGGTGCCTGCCCTCAGGGTGGAGCTCCTCTGTGTGACTCAGTGAAACTGATACGGGTCTCTGAGTGAGGGTTGGTGGATTGAGCCTGTGGCTGAGCACGTCACAGCTCTTTGGTTCTGTCATTCAGTAGCCACAGCCACAGCTAGAGTAACTCATCTTATGTCCCAGATTGCTTGGAGTCATTTGGCATGAGAATCATGGTACCTGGACGGACTTATTTAGCATCTTAGAGAGTGGGCAGCAAGGGCAGAAGAATAATTCTTCATTCATTTACTTAGTAACTCAACAATGATTTATTTCTCTATTCGATAATCAGGTACCTGGTACTTTTATGTGCCAGGCTGCTGTGCTAGCCACTAGGGATTTGGGGTGTCCTCTGGAGGACTTACCATTGAATGCGAGAGGCTGATGTGAAGGATGATGTCCTATTAAATGTAACAGTGCAGCTATGCTGAGTCCTGCCAAGCCTTCGAGTGTATGTGGTGGTCTGTGAACAGGTAGCAGGGGGTTGCACCGGGTTGAAGGGAGACAGAGATGTGTGAACTGTGGTCTGAGGGGTAGGCTTGTGTCTATGTATGAGCAAGACAGTTGTCCCAGAGAACAGGCATAGCATGTGCAAAGGCCCCGAGGGGGCATTTGGAGGGCTTCAAAGAGGTACAATGTCCAAACACTGCTGATGAGCAGAAGCAGGTACCAAGTGATTCAGCACCTTGAATGCTCAGCAGCTACCTCCTTTAAGTCAAGCGAGTTGTCCAGAACCACCAGTTCCAATTCTAGGCAATCCATCCTCCTATTTGCCCCCACATCCCGCATTTAAAAAGTGACATTTGTTACCCAGTTGTAATTGCTGTGTGTGTGTGTGTGTGTGTGTGTGTGTTTCTTACAGAAGACTGTGAGTTGCATGGTTGCCGGGGATATTTCATGCTCATCTTTGTACACACCGTAGGTGCTCAATAAACGTATCAGAGGACAGGGAAGATTGTTATTGAGCACGTACTGTGGGCTCAGCACTATTTATGCGCACGTACATATAAGGCTACAAAATCGAAAAGCCAAAAGGAGCATACGTTTTACAAGCTGGAGTAGATGCCAGCGGATGCATTTGGAGCTTGAAAGCTTTTGTGCCGTCTGTTCCCATACTGCCAGAACTCCGGAACTGAGGCTGTCATCCTGTGTCTCCGTAGACCTGCTGAAACTCAGCCTGCTGGGACGAGTCTGCTTTCCCCCCTCCTGTGTCTACCATGGAAGTGTGTGGACAGCCCCATTCACGATGACATGTGACACCACTGGCTTTCCCCGGCAGTCACACCCCCTGACCCAGGGCCTGCCAGCTTGGGTAAGTGGGGCCCATGCTTGAGGGCTGGAGTGTCCAGGGACGTGGAGAGCGCCTGTGGGTTCTGCCGGAAAATGTTCTCTCTGTCCTTTGAATCCTGTCATTGTTCCGTGTCTCATGTGCTGGCTATTACGTATGTATCCCCGATCAGGGTTTCCAGAGGTCACAGGGGCTGGCCCTAAAGGCCAATGGCCCTGATTCTGGGTGGGATTCTGGAGCCTTAGAACTCTGGTGGGGATCTTTGTGGATGGAAATTTTCCAATTCTCAGATCCTTCATATCTGTCCCTCCGTTCTACCTCTAACCGTGTCTAGACAGTGTTCTCCAGTTTGGGGAGATGGAATCTGTTAGCACCATCGAGCGTGTAAGGAAGAGAAAATATCAAAATCTGTCTGCCTTTCTTTCCTGGAGGCTGCTGAGTGAGTCAGAGCCGGGGGAGCAGTGTGGGGCCCCAAGGAAGGGAAGTGGAGAGGCTTGTATTTAACTAAAATACCTTCTACTTTTTTAGTCCATCTAGGTGGGGGCTGGCTGGGGGCAGTTTCACAGGGAAGAAAACACTGGCATGAAGAGAGCCTGAGGGATCGAGAACAGCAACTTACCTGGCACTTTTTAAGACCAGAAAGGAATAAAAAATAATTTTTAAAAAGACAGAGCTGAGGCCGGGCCTGGTGGCTCACACCTGTAATCCCAGCACTTTGGGAGGCCGAGGTGGGCGGATCACCTGAGGTCAGGAGTTCGAGACCAACCTGACCAACATGGAGAAACCCCATCTCTACTAAAAGTACAAAATTAACTGGGGGTGGTGGCGCATGCCTATAATCCCAGCTACTTAGGAGGCTGAGGCAGGAGAATGGCTTGAACCTGGGAAGAGGAGGTTGCTGTGAGCTGAGATCACGCCATTGCACTCCAGCCTGGGCAACAAGAGTGAAACTCGGTCTCCAAAAAAAAAAAAAGACAGAGCTAAGTGGGTAGTGGACTTGAGGTTAGGTTTCAGCTGGGTGACTGTAGGCAAGTCTGGTGACCTCTCTGGGCCCTTTCCCTTCATCTCCATGAGGGAGATAACGATGATGCCTTCATTCCTGCCTTTTGGGGTTGCTGGAGGATTAATGAGAGAGGAAGGTCCCTGCTTTGAGAAAACAGATCTCATAGCAGCGTGCACAAGAGGCTTATGCCCCAAGCTGCTGCAAAATGGGGTCTCCTAATTGTACCCACTAAATAGGGTTGTGAGGAGGATGAGATTTATAAAACACAAGAAGCATGTCACATAGCTCGAGATCTCACTCACGGGAAGCCCTCACAGTTGGACGTTTCTCTTTTTATTAAGAATATGAAGGCAGTCAGCATAAAATGTGTGTTCAACAGAAAAGAACCACAAGCAAACAAATAACAAAAGCAGGTTGAGTGAGAAAAATGAGAATGGCTTCTTTTTATGGCATCTGGAAGGGTGGGAGAGGGGAAAGAAAAGGAACTAAGGGACGATTGGGCGGGGTTGGTGCCTAGGGCATGGGTTCCAAGGTGACTAACCAGCTTTATGCTCCCACGCACTCCCAAGCTGCGAGCTGCGTTGCTGTGTGACCTGCAGCAGGTCACTTGCCTTCTCTGTGCTAGGTGCTTAGCATACACTTGTGATTAGGATCACCTGGGATGTGGGCAGGCTCTGCAATGGGAAAACAGGGTAACAGGAGTGAGGGAATGTGAGGACGCTCCCACTGAGGCCTATTCAGGGAGGAGCATGTGTGGTGTGAGTTTGGTGTCAAACCTGGTTTTAAATCCTGGCTTTGCCTCTTGCTTCCTGGGTGACTCCAGACCAGTTAGTTGGCCTCTCTGAGCTGGTTTCCTTATCTGTATAGCAGAGATAACTGCTTTTTGCTATAAGTACTGGCCTCTAGATTAGTTGAGTCAGGGGAAAACCCTCCATGCTTTTTCTACACCCTTACAGCTGGAATGAACTTCAGGGATGGACGTTGAGTCCACTCCCCTTGTCCAGAGCTCAGAGAATGGGAGAGCCAGGTCCAAGCCTGCCTGGGGAGGTCAGCGGAGGGCTGTCGTACAGAATCTGGGCCTCAGGACTCTGTCCCATTTCTCTAAACCATTCTGCTTCAACCCAGACACTGACTGTTTTCCAAACTTACTTTTTTGTTTGTTTTGTTTAGCAATTGCTTCTCCATTCTCGATGTTCCTAACCCCCATGGGTCCACAACCATAATCATGGCCACGCGGGTCGAGGTGGGCTCCATAACGCCCTTGACGGCCGTGCCAGGCCTGGGTGAGATTGGCAAGGAGGAGACCCTGACGAGGACCTACTTCCTCCAGGCCGGCGAAGCCTCTGGGGCTCCTCCAGCCCGGATCTTGGAAGCAAAGAGCCCCCTGCGGAGCCCGGCCCGCTTACTCCCTCTGCCAAGGCTCGCCCCCAAACCCTTCTCGAAGGAGCAGGACGTGAAATCTCCTGTCCCATCTCTGCGGCCCATTTCAACTGGACCTTCTTCCTCTGGGGGGCTCACTGAGGACCCAGCAGCAAAGGATCTGGACAAGAGGATGCCTGGCTTGGTGGGACAGGAGGTGGGCAGTGGGGAGGGCCCGAGGACGGGCTCGCCCCTCTTCAACAAGGCTGTGTTCCTGCGGCCCAGCCCCAACACCATGATTCTCTTCCAAACCACCAAAAGCGGCCCCACTCTGGGGAAGGTGGTCAATGAGGGGGCCGAGGAGGCCAAGCCAGGTGTGTCTGGCTCCCGGCCTGAGGTGGCCACCAAGCCTACCCTGCTCATCCGAAAGCCTGCGGGGACCCTTCCCCGGTCAGGCCCCCTGTCTCAGGACACAAAGTCACCTGTACCCCAAGAGGAGGCAGGCCAAGACCAGCCTCCCTTAAAGGCCAGCAGTGTGGAGGACATGGCACGCCCCGTTGTGGAGCCCAGGCCTCGCGTGAAGAGGAGGCCCGTGTCTGCCATTTTCACGGAGTCCATTCAGCCTCAGAAGCCAGGCCCTGGCGCAGCGGCCACGGTGGGCAAAGTGCCCCCTACCCCTCCCGAGAAGACGTGGGTGAGGAAGCCCAGGCCCTTGTCCATGGACCTCACGGCCCGGTTTGAGAACAAAGAGGCCTTGCTGAGGAAGGTGGCCGATGAAGGAAGTGGAGCCCCAGCAGGGGACATGGCTGGGCTAGAGAGGCCCAGAGCAGCGTCCAAGCTGGACAGGGAGTGTTTGGTCAAGGCGGAGGCTCCTCTTCATGATCCTGATTCGGACTTCCTAGAGGTGGCCAAGAAAATCCGTGAACAGAAGGAGAAGATGCTTTCGAAGCCAGAGACGGGCAGCCCCAGAGCCCTGGGGGGCTCAGCCAGGGTCACCCCCAGCAATGACCAGAGTTCCCGAGAAGAAAGGGCCAAGCTGGACCCAGAGCCAGAGAAGGCTGCTGAGTCCCCCTCGCCCAGGCTGGGAAGGGGCCTAGAACTTGCTGAGGTTAAGAGCAGAGTGGCAGACGGGGAGGCCCCGGCAGGGGGAGAGTGGGCCTCTAGGAGGAGCATTAGGAAGTGCATCAACCTGTTTCGGGAGGACAGCACCTTGGCCTTGGCAGTGGGGTCTGAACCCCGCCTGGGCACCCCCACGTCCCCACTGGTGGCACCAGAGCCGGAGAAAGGGGTTGTCAGCGTCCAGGAGCGGATCAGAGGCTGGACTGCTGAGAGCTCCGAGGCCAAGCCCGAGGTCAGGAGGAGGACGTTCCAGGCTCGGCCATTGTCGGCGGATTTGACCAAATTGTAAGTAGGCACATCCTACACCCCTCCCTCAGCCGCCCACCCACAGGCCCTGAGGAGAAGGGAACCAGGCTCCATGCTGGGCACCTGTTGCCCCCCTCAGTTTACCCATAGCCCAAGAGGAGGTCGTGGCAGGGTCCATTTCTCAGATGAGGAAGGTGAGGCACGGAGAGGCAGTGCAGCTTCCCTCTGGCTATGGCCAGCCGGGGGGCCTGGAGCTGTTTTCATGGCTTTTCTCAGCTTCAGGTGTGCTGTGTGATTGAACTGGGTGGTGTGTGCCCATTTCACGGAGGCAGGGCAGAAGGGTGAAATACTGTGAGGAGGTGGGAGCTGGATGGCATTTCGGCTGAGCCTATCTCCATAGCTAAGCCTTTCTTCCCTGAAGGCAGAGAGAGAACAGTTCAGACTGGGCCTAAGCCTCTATGAGTGGTCCAAAAAATAAACTCAGAGGAGTCAAGGTAACTTGGGCAAGTCAGTTGGTTAATACTGATATTCTAAGTCAGCTGGTTAATACTGATATTCTTTTTCTTTGAGATGGAGTCTTGCTCTGTTGCCCAGGTTGGAGTGCAGTGGTGCGACCTCCACTCGCTGCAGCCTCTGCCTCCCGGGTTCAAGCAGTTCTTCTGCCTCAGACTCCCGAGTAGCTGGTATTACAGGTGCCCATCACCACGCCCAGCTAATTTTTGTATTTTTAGTAAGATGGGGTTTTACCAGGTAGGCCAGGCTGGTCTCAAACTCCTGACCTGAGGTGATCCGCCCACCTCGGCCTCCCAAAGTGCTGGGATTACAGGCGTGAACCACCGTGCCTGGTCTAATACTGATATTCTAAGTCAGTTGGTTAATACTGATCTTCTAAGTCATTTGGTTAACAATGATATTTTGTCAGTTGGTTAATACCAATATACTAAGTCAGTTGGTTAATAATGATATTCTACATCAGTTGGTTAATAATGATATTCTAAGTCAGTTGGTTAATACTAATATTCTACATCAGTTGGTTAATATCGATATTGTAAGTCAGTTGGTTAATAATTATATTCTAAGTCAGTTGGTTAATACCGATATTCTAAGTCAGTTGGTTAATAATGATGTTCTAAGTCAGTTGGTTAATAATGATAGTCAGTTGGTTAATAATGATGTTCTAAGTCAGTTGGTTAATAATGATGTTCTAAGTCAGTTGGTTAATAATGATATTCTAGGCTGGGCGCGGTGGCTCATGCCTGTAATCCCAGCACTTTAGGAGGCTGAGGTGGGTGGGTCATGAGGTCAGGAGTTCGAAACCAGCCTGGCCAACATGGTGAAACTCCATCTCTACTAAAAATACAAAAATTAGCTGGGAATGGTGGCACACATCTGTAATCCCAGCTACTCAGGAGGCTAAGGCAGGAGAATCACTTGAACCTGGGAGGCAGAGGATGCAGTGAGCCGAGATCACACCACTCCACTCCAGCCTGGACAACAGAGCAAGACACCATCACACACACACAAAAAGAAAGATATTCTAAGTCAGTTGGTTAATAATGACATTCTAAACTTGGCCCACTTCCCACAAGTGGCCACAACAGAGAGATGCCACTGGGCATGATCGACTGGCTCTTAATGGCATGCATGCCACTGACATACTTTGTCCAGGGTGGAGCTTGCAAAGGCAGGATCTCTGGGCAGACTGCCCTCCCGGCTCTGGGAACCAGGACAGCCAGCCAAGCCAAAGCTAGACCACTGGCTCTCAGTGCTTTAGAATAACCCAGAAAAAATACCAGTGCCTGGGCCCCACCCCTAGAGATTCCGATTCACTTGATTTGGGGAGGGTCTCGTATTTTGGTAGTTTTTATTTTATTTTTTATTTTTATTTATTTATTTATTTTTGAGATGGAGTTGCTGTGTCGCCCAGGCTGGAGTGCAGTGTCGCGATCTCAGCTCACTGCAACCTCTGCCTCCCGGGTTCAAGCAATTCTCCTGCCTTAGCCTCCCGAGTAGCTGGGATTACAGGGGCAGGCCACCACACCCAGCTAATTTTTGTATTTTTAGTAGAGACGGGGTTTCACCATGTTAGGCTGTTCTCGAACTCCTGATCTTGTGATCCGCCCACCTTGGCCTCCCAAAGTGCTGGGATTACAGGGGTGAGCCACCACACCCGGCCCACATTTTGGTAGTTTTTAAAAGCTTCCAAGTCAATCTTATGTGCAGCCAGGCCTGACAACCCCTGAGTTAAGATATCACAGAAGGACACCTATGCCAGGGTCCTAATATGCTTCCTCTCACTGTGTCATCGAAGAGCCTTGGAGAGGCTGTGTGATTATCTGTCAGATGGGGAAACTGAGGCTTTGAGTTTAGACACAACTCCTCTCAGCCTCACATATCCTAGGAGGCAGACCCTGGGTTGCTGAGGGTAGGTTAGGTTTAAGTGGTTTCATTTCTCTCCCTTTCCTTTTCTTCAAAGTCCCCAGCTCTGAACTAAACACGTGCTACATCTTCAGGTATTTATACCAGAGAGCTCTCCCGGGATGGAAAGCTTCTAGCTCCACCCCCTCTTCCCTTTTTAAGGTGGGGAAAACGAGGCCCAGAGAGGGCCTGGTAATCCAGAGAGGCAGAGACACACCTGGGCCCCCACACATTCCTTGACATCCCACTACCCTTCAGTCTGGGGGCTGCTCTGAGGCGGGGCTGCTCTTTTACCTGGCATTGCTAACAACAGCCATTCATTATCCCTCCTGGGGCATCTCCGCTCTTCCCTAAACGCCCTCACATAGCTATTAGGGCCTTAAGCAGCCTCTTATCTGCCCCATAAAAGGGATGGGGAGGTGTTAATTATCCCCGTTTTATAGATGAAGAAACAGAGGCTCAGGTGAGGTCACAAGCCTAACCCAGGCTCCCCCAGTGAAGAGGCAGTAGAGCTGGGACCGGCACCTGGGTGTCTTCCCCCAGCCTGGGGCTCCTTCCACCCCGGTAATGCTGTGTTTAAGGTAGGCTCTCCCCACTGGGCAGTTCTCCTTTTGGTAAGGGGAAAGGAAATGTCCTTTCTTTTTTTTTTTTGTTTTTTTTTTTTTTTTTGTTTTTGAGACGGAGTCTCGCTCTGTCGCCCAGGCTGGAGTGCAGTGGCCGGATCTCAGCTCACTGCAAGCTCCGCCTCCCGGGTTTACGCCATTCTCCTGCCTCAGCCTCCCGAGTAGCTGGGACTACAGGCGCCCGCCACCTCGCCCGGCTAGTTTTTTTTTGTATTTTTAGTAGAGACGGCGTTTCACCATGTTAGCCACGATGGTCTCGATCTCCTGACCTCGTGATCCGCCCGTCTCGGCCTCCCAATGTGCTGGGATTACAGGCTTGAGCCACCGCGCCCGGCCGGAAATGTCCTTTCTTAAGGTTACTTGGCCTGGGCTCCTGAGCTGGTGTGTGGGCTGGGGGGAGTAACAGCTTCCAGCTCCGTAAAGGTAACTCAGATCTCTGCACCAGGTTTTCAAGTTCAGCTTCAAGCAACGAAGTGAAATATGAGAAGAGTGCCGAGCTGACCAGCGAGTTTCCTAAGGAACCGAGAGAAAAGGTAAGGAGTGGCTATGTGGCACATCTCTCATTAACCGGCAGGCAGTTATAGCTGCGGGAAAAAGAGCCTCCATGATCTTCTAGACCCCGGGAAGACTCAGAAACATGTCATGCACACGATAAAACATTTTTTCGTCTAATGTTGGGACTATGAAGTCCCTTCTGGCATGAAGAGTGGTGACTCCCTACTCCCAGGTGTTAAATGCTGTTTACAAATGTATCAGGCGTTTTTTTCTTTGCAAATAGGCAGAGGGGCACGGCTTTCTTATATAGGAGTGCCCGCTTTATTAAAATACTAAAATTTAGGTTTAAGATGTTAATAGAGGCCGGGCGCGGTGGCTCAAGCCTGTAATCCCAGCACTTTGGGAGGCTGAGACGGGCAGATCACGAGGTCAGGAGATCGAGACCATCCTGGCTAACACGGTGAAACCCCGTCTCTACTAAAAAAAAATACAAAAAACTAGCCGGGCGAGGTGGCGGGTGCCTGTAGTCCCAGCTACTCGGGAGGCTGAGGCAGGAGAATGGCGTAAACCCGGGAGGCGGAGCTTGCAGTGAGCTGAGATCCGGCCACTGCACTCCAGCCTGGGCGACAGAGCGAGACTCCGTCTCAAAAAAAAAAAAAAAAAAAAAAAAGATGTTAATAGAAACTCCTTCAAGGTCCTTCATAATGGTTCTTCCTGCCTTCCCCCTACTTACCACCTAGCCATAGAAGGAAGAAGTAGGTGGCTGGGCACATTGGCTCACATCTGTAATCCCAGCACTTTGGGAGGCTGAGGTGTGGTGGGAGGATTGCTTGAGCCCACAAGTTTGAGACCAGCCTGGGCAACATAGTGAGACTCTTATCTCTAAAAGAAAAAACTTTTGTTTAATTAGCCAGATGTGGTTGTGTATACCTTATAGTTCTAGTTACTCCAGAGGCTGAGGCAGGAGGATGGCCTGAGTCCAGGACTTTGAGGCTGCAGTGAGCCATGATCACACCACTGCACTCCAGCCTGGGCGACAGAGTGAGACCTGTCTCTAAAAAATAAAAATATAGGCCGGGCGCGGTTTCTTACACCTGTAATCCCAGCACTTTGGGAGGCCAAGGTGGGCGGATCACAAGGTCAGGAGATCAAGACCATCCTGGCTAACACGGTGAAACCCCGTCTCTACTAAAAACACAAAAAAATTAGCTGGGCATGGTGGTGGACACCTGTAGTCCCAGCTACTTGGGAGGCTGAGGCAGGAGAATGGCGTGAACCCAGGAGGCGGAGCTTGCAGTGAGCAGAGATTGTGCCACTGAACTCCAGCCTGGGCGGCAGAGCGAGACTCTTGTCTCAAAAAAAATAAAATAAAAAATAAAAAATAAAAATATAAATATAAATGTAAATTAAGACAAAAAGAAAGAAGTAGGTTACCAGCAATTAAATTGCTTAAAAAGTATTTTTATTTCATTTTAATAAGAGAAAACTCATAAAATTAACTGCTAGCTATAATGGTTGATGCTTTCTGCAGAGTCTTAGTTTTTTTGAAAAAACAGCTTTAATTGAGATACAGTTGACATACAGGAAAGAGCACAGATTTAAAACATTCAACTTGGTGAGTTTCCCTATGTGTGTACACCTGTGAAACCACCATCACAGTCAAAATAGCAGACATCTCCATCACATGCAAAAGGTTCCTCATGCCACTTTGTTTTTTTGGTTTTTTTTTTTTGGAAATGGAATTTTGCCCTTGTCGCCCAGGCTGGAGTGCAGTGGCACGATCTTGGCTCACAGCAACATCCGCCTCCCAAGTTCAAGTGATTCTCCTGCCTCAGCCTCCCTAGTAGCTGGGATTACAGGCATCCACTACCACGCCTGGCGAATTTTTGTATTTTTAGTAGAGATGGGGTTTCGCTATGTTGGCCAGGCTGGTTTCGAACTCCTGACCTCAAGTTGTCCAGCCACTTCGGCCTCCCAAAGTGCTGGGATTACAGGTGTGAACCACCATGCCCGGCTGCCACTTTGTAATCTCTCCCTTCCCCTGGTCTTCCCAGCCCATCACAGGTCTGCTTCCTGTCCGTGTAGATTAGTTTGCATTTTCTAGACTTGAATATAAATGGAATCAGTCCTCTTTTATTTTGCCCTTGCTTCTTCACTCAGACTAGTTATGTTGAGATCATTCGTGGTGTAGCATGTATCAGTAGTTCATTCCTTTCTGTTGCTGACTGGTATTCTATTGTGTGAGTAGACCACAATTTGTCTATCCATTCATCTTTTGATGGACAATTAGGTTGTTACCAGTTTGGGGCAATTGCCAGTGAAGCTGCTGTGAACATTTGTGGACAAGGCTTTGTAAGAACTTCTATTTCTTTTCTTTTCTTTTTTTCTTTTTTCTTTTTTTCTTTTTTTATTTTTGAGACGGAGTCTTTCTCCGTTGCCCAGGCTGGAGTGCAGTGGTGCGATCTCGGCTCACAGCAACATCCGCCTCCCAGGTTCAAGTGATTCTCCTGCCTCAGCTTCCTGAGTAACTGGGACTACAGGCACCCGCCACCACGCCCAGCTAATTTTTTGTATTTTTAGTAGAGACAGGGTTTCACTGTGTTAGCCAGGATGGTCTTGATCTCCTGACCTCGTGATCCGCCTGCCTCGGCCTCCCAAAGTGCTGGGATTACAGGCATGAGCCACCGTGCCTGGCCTTTTTTTTAAAATTTTTGAGACAGAGTCTCACTCTGTTGCCTGAGATAGTACAGTCACATGATCTCGGCCCACTGCAACCTCTGCCTCCTGGGTTCAAGTAATTCTCATGCCTCAGCCTCTTGAGTAGCTGGGACTACAGTCACGTGCCTCTGTGCCCATTTAATCTTTTGTATTTTTAGTAGAGATGGGGTTTCACCATGTTGGCCAGGCCAGTCTTGAACTCCTGACCTCAGATGATCTGCCTGCCTTGGCCTCCCAAAGTGCTGGGATTATAGGCGTGAGCCACGGCATCTGGCCAGGACTTCAGTTTTCTTTTCTCTTGGGTAACCATTTAGGAGTAGAATGGCTGGATCATATGGTAGATGCATGTTTTATGTTTTAAGACACCTCTCTGGAGTTTTAAAAATAATACCAGTGCTTGATTTCGAGCTTGTACCCATCTCAGTAAATCACCAACAAAAGTGGGCTGGCTTTGAATGGCAATACCCACCACCACTCTTGTAGGCGGCGGTTTGCCCTGCAACTTTTATTGTTGTATTTTCTGAATCATTTCTTTGAAAATGGTTAGGGGGGGATCCAATTTAAGTAATTAAAGCTCCTTATATTTGTATTAAAATGCTGTAGTGACAGTAGCGGCAAGGGCAAAAAGGCTGTGTGTAGTGAGAGTGGCAAAATGCTGATTGTCATTAAATTGGGAGGGGTGGGTTGGGCAAGTTCGTTATTTTCTCTGTAATTTTGTGTATGTTTGAAACTTTAAAGAAGGGAATAGTTAAGAAAGAAACGCTTGCTTTACATGTGATGAAATTTTATCTCTGTTAAGTAGACTTTGTATGTGTGTGTATGTGGGTGTGTTTATTGTAGTAAAATACACATAACAAACTGGACGTGGTGGCTCATGCCTATAATCCCAGAACGTTAGGAGGCCAAGGTGGGAAGATTGCTTGAGGCCAGGAGTTTGAGGCTGCAGTGAGCTCTGATTACGCCACTGCACTCCAACCTGGGCAACAGAGCGAGATGCTGTCTTTATTTTATTTATTTATTTATTTATTTATTTATTTATTTATTTATTTTTTTTTTTTGAGATAGAGTTTTGCTCTTGTTGCCCAGGCTGGAGTGTAATGGCACGATCTCGGCTCACTGCAACCTCTGTGTCCTGGGTTCAAGTGATTCTCCTGCCTCAGCCTCCTGAGTAGCTGGGATTGCAGGCATGTACCACCACCCCCAGATAATTTTGTATTTTTAGTAGAGACAGAGTTTCTCCATGTTGGTCAGGCTGGTCTCGAACTCCTGACCTCAGGTGATCTGCCCGCCTCGGCCTCCAAAAGTGCTAGGATTACAGGCATGAGCCACCGTGCCTGGTTGAAATCCTGCCTTTAAAAAGAAAAAAAGTACACAAAGCACAAAATATACTATTTTAACTATTTTTTTTTTTTTTTTGAGATGGAGTCTCGCTCTGTCGCCCAGGCTGGAGTGCAGTGGTGCGATCTCGGCTCACTGCAAGCTCCGCCTCCCGGGTTCACGCCATTCTCCTGCCTCAGCCTTTCGAGTAGCTGGGACTACAGGCACCTGCCACCACGCCTGGCTAATTTTTTGTATTTTTCAGTAGAGACGGGGTTTCACTGTGTTAGCCAGGATGGTCTCGATCTCCTGACCTCGTGATCCGCCCGCCTTGGCCTCCCAAAGTGCTGGGATTACAGGCATGAGCCACCGCGCCCGGCTATTTTAACTATTTTTAAAGAAAAATAATGAATTTGTGAAATTTACAAAATTTACAAAGTTTCAAAAATTCACAGTCTTTCTAATATATATATAAATAATACAAAGAGAGTTCTGAAAGGCTCTTCAAGGATCATAACCCGTTGGTAATAGCTGTTATCCAGGAATGGGGACTAGTATTTGAACAAGGGAACAAAAATGATTTGAACTTTGGCCGGGCGTGGCGGTTCACACCTGTAATCCCAGCACTTTGGGAGGCCAAGGCGGGTGGTTTACCTGAGGTTGGGAGTTCGAGACCAGCCTGACCAACATGGAGAAATGCCGTCTCTACTAAAAATACAAAAAAAATTAACCAGGTGTGGTGGCGCATGCCTGTAATCCTAGCTACTCGGGAGGCTGAGGCAGGAGAATCACTTGAACCTGGGAGGCAGAGATTGCGGTGAACCAAGATCGCACCATTGCACTCTCAAAAAAAAAAAAAAAAAAAGAATTGAACTTTGTATTATTTGGATTCCTTTACAATCAGAATTGATTCATACATTGTTTATGTAAAATGTACATATTAAAATATAAAGAGGCTGGGTGCGGTGGCTGGTGTTTGTAATCCCAGCACTTTCGGAGGCTGAGGCGGGTGGATCACTCGAAGCCAGGAGTTTCAAGACCAGTCTGGCCAACATGGTGAAACGCCATCACTACTAAAAACATACAAAAATTGGCTGGGTGTGGTGGTGCATGCCTGCATTCTCAGTTACTCGGGAGGCTGAGGCAGAAGAATCGCTTGAACCTGGGAGGTGGAGGTTGCAGTGAGCCAAGATCGTGCCATTGCACTCCAGCCTGGGTGAAAGAGCGAGACTCCATCTCAAAAAAAAAAAGTATATATATGTGTGTGTATATATATGTGTGTGTGTGTATACACGTATAAATTTAAACAAAGGTTTACAGTCAGTGTTTTTAGAGCACTTCATTGGCATTCCATCATCTACAGTAGAGGTTAGCAAACTGTGCCCCTGCCCTTATTGTAACTATTTTAAAGTGCACAACTGACTGGCATTAAGGATGTTTTCAGTGTTGTGCAAGCATCACCACTATCTAGTTCCAGAATCTTCTGTCACCTCAAGTGGAAACCTTGTGTCCTCATCACCCATTCCCAGGCATCCACTAATCTACTTTCTGTCTCTATGGATTAACCTATGATGTGTGTGTGTATATATATATATTTTTATATATATATACTTTTATATTTATATATATGTGCTGTATATAAATGGAGTCTTGTAACATGTAGCTTTTTGACTGGCTTCTTTTGCTTAGCATAATATTTTCAAAATTCATCCACGATGTAGCATGAATCAGTATTTAATTCCTTTTATTTATTTTTTTAGACGGAGGCTCGCTCTGTCGCCCAGGCTGGAGTGCAGTGCCACAACCTCGGCTCACTGCAATCTCCATCCTCCAGGTTCAAGCAATTCTCTTGCCTCAGCCTCCCAAGTTGCTGGGACTACAGGCGTGTGCCACTACACCTGGCTAGTATTTTTAGTAGAGACAGGGTTTTACCATGTTGACCACGCTGGTCTCGAATTGCTGAGCTTAGGTGATCCGCCCGCCTCGGCCTCCCAAACTGCTGGGATCACAGGTTTGAGCCACCGCACCTGGCCTTTAATTCCTTTTAAAAGATTTTGGTTTTTTTTGTATAGATGAGGTCTCACTATTTTACCCAGGCTGGTCTGGGACTCCTGGATTTAAGCGATCCTCCCATCTCAGCTTCCCGAAGTACTGGGATTACAGGCATGAGCCACCGCACCTGGTGGGATCTGCCTCTTTCTATGGTAACCAATGCCTGTGCACTAGTCCATCGTTTGGAGATAATTGAAATTTAGCCAATGCCCTTCCAATGCGCATTCAGGTTGTTTCTGTGTTCTTTTGCTTACACCAATGGTACTGTCTCAGCTTTCTTGTTCATGTAGACTTGTGCATGTGGGCAAAGAGTCCTGGGAGGAACTTGGCCGGATAAAAGGAAATGAGTATTTTAACATCAGGATAGATACGCTGCATTGCCCATAGTCGGGTTCATTGATATTCTCTCCAACAGTATCTGAGTGTCCATTTCCCCACATCCTCGCCCACACTGGGTGTGTTCATTCTTTTCAATTTTATGGTATTTCATTGTTTTAATTATACAAGCAGCCCTTTTAATCACTCCACTTTTTCCTTTCCATCTCGAATCCTTTAACATTGAGGTGTTTCTTTTTTTGTTTCTTTCCAGCAAAAGGAGGGGCATGGTTTGGATGGAAGCCCCTGGAAGCCTGGGACACTCCGGGAGAAGTCCAGGCAGACGGAGCGGAAGGTTAGCTCTAACCAAGACCCGGACAGCTGCCGCGGTGGAAGCTCAGTGGAGGCGCTGTGCCCTTCTGACATCACTCCAGAAGATGATCGGAGCTTCCAGACTGTGTGGGCCACAGTGTTTGAGCACCATGTGGAGAGACACACAGTGGCTGACCAGTCTGGACATTGTGTCTCCACCACACCCCCTGGTGACACGGCCAATGCCCGTGTCTCAGAACCTAGGCCGAGGCCTGAGATGGGCTCTTGGCTGGGCAGGGACCCGCCGAGGCCTGAGATGGGCTCTTGGCTGGGCAGGGACCCACTAGACATGACAAAACTCAAGAAAGAGAATGCCAGAGGGTTTGACCATCCCGAGATGGAGAAACTGGGACGAACCGCCCTTTTGAACGGTGAACTGAGACCGTTTCACACGCCTCTCCGGGAAAAATATCCTTTGGCTGAGAACCGCAATAATAACACCTTCCTCAAACACTGGGAAAATCCTCCCCCATCGCAGAGGATTGAGCCCAGGTATGACATTGTGCATGCAGTGGGGGAGCGTGTGCACAGCGAGGCCGTCTCACCAGCACCGGAAGAGAAAGCGGTCACACTCCGCAGCCGCAGGTCTTGGCTCTCACTGAAAGACAGGCAGCTGTCCCACGAGGTCACCCCTGCTGACCTGGAGTGTGGTTTGGAAGGTCAGGCAGGGTCCGTCCAAAGGGCCAGTTTGATTTGGGAAGCTCGAGGCATGCCTGAGGCTAGTGGGCCGAAGTCTGGGGGCAATTGCCCGTCGCCCAAATGGACAGGCGGGGCGGTGGTGAGCTCGCACAAAGCCACCGTGGGGGTCAGCGAAGAGCACTGTGCTCCTGGGGCCACCTCTGTCCGGGTTGTCAAGGCTGCCGTCTGGGAAAGCCAGCATGAGGGGCCAGAAGGGGCCAGAAGCAAGCCAGGAGAGGGAGCAAGGGGCCCACCCCAGGGATGCCCCTTAGATCCTCCTTCCAGACCTTCGAATGAGCCTTCTGACTCCCAAGCACGAACACATCCAGATGCATTTGCTGTGCAGAAAGGGCCCTTCGTTGTAGCTGCCAGGGAGGGTGATCCAAGGCCGGCCCAGGTGCCACAGCTTGCAGTCAAAATGCGGAAAGCCAACCCCATGGACCAGAGAATGGACAGATGGCGGCGGCGGACTTTACCCCCCAACGTGAAGTTTGATACATTCAGTTCTCTCGTCCCAGAGGACTCTCCACGTGTGGGGCACAGACGAATAGATTATGTGAGCCCCACAGCCAGTGCCTTAAGAAAACCTCAACTATCCCACTACATGGTGGAGACCCAGGAGGTGAACCCAGGCGCTTCACGGGATCAGACCTCCCCAGCAGTGAAGCAAGGGTCACCTGTGGAACCCAAGGCGACATTTTTTGCAGTCACCTATCAGCTTCCCAATACTCAAAAGGCAAAGGGTGTGGTTCTGTCAGGGGCTGAAAACTTGCTGGAACATTCTAGAAAAATCACTCCACCCCCATCTCCTCATTCTTTAACATCCACTTTGGTTTCTCTTGGTCATGAAGAGGCACTGGAGATGGCAGGCAGTAAAAACTGGAGGAAGGGACGAGAGCATGAAAATGCAAGCATTTTAAAAACTCTGAAGCCAACAGACTGTCCATCATCTCTTGGGGCCAGGAGTCTGGAGCCTTTCACTGGAAGAATCATTGATGTGGATGCCTTATGGAGTCATCGGGGATCAGAAGATGGCCCTCGTCCTCAAAACGATTGGAAGGAAAGTGCGAACAAGATTTCCCCCAGCGGTGAAGCTCCCCAAACCACCCCAACTCTGAGGAGTCGCCCAAAAGATCTCCCTGTGAGAAGGAAGACTGATGTGATCAGTGAGACGTTCCCAGGTAAAATCAGAGACGGGTACAGATCCAGCGTTCTTGACATTGACGCCCTGATGGCTGAGTACCAGGAGCTGTCGCTGAAAGTCCCTGGGGAGGCTCAGGAGAGGAGGAGGAGTCCCACAGCAGAGTCCAGTACATTGCCTCGGGAGAGGCCTGTTCAGCCAGGTGGGGTGGAGCAGAGGAGGAGGAGCCTGAAGGAGGTGCCCGATACCGGGGGTCTCTGGAAACTGGCCAGCTCTGCCGAAATAAACCACAGTTTCACTCCTGGCTTAGGCAAGCAGCCAGCAGAGACCTCGGAGACAGCCATGGGCACCAAATCTAGTCCTCCCTTCTGGGCTCTGCCACCCTCGGCTCCTTCTGAAAAGTATCCAGGGAGGGGCTCTCCTATCTCTGCGGATCCCAGGAAAAAAACCTTGGGGTTCGCTGAGGATGACAGAAAGGCCTTTGCCAGTAAACATCACGTTGCAAAGTGTCAGAATTACCTGGCTGAATCAAAGCCCTCTGCTCGGGAGGATCCAGGCAGTGGGGTCAGAGTGTCACCCAAATCGCCCCCCACTGACCAGAAGAAAGGGACCCCAAGGAAATCCACCGGGCGGGGAGAGGAGGGCAGTGTGGCCCAGTGGGTTGACTACCCACGTGACTGTGGACGGGTGCCGCTGGATATCAAGAGGACCTACTCAGAGAAGGGGCCCCCTGCCAACATCCGAGAGGGCCTGTCCATCATGCATGAAGCCAGAGAGAGGAGGCGAGAGCAGTCCAAAGGGAGGCCCAGCCTTACTGGAGAGAATTTGGAGGCCAAAATGGGACCCTGTTGGTGGGAGTCAGGGACTGGAGATAGCCACAAGGTAAGTACCAAGGCTCTTTTTAATTTTGTCAAAGGTGGATTAAACATCTAGCTTAGGGGGCCGAAATTCAGATTTTGTGTGGCCCACACGGGTACATAAACGAGTGGAGTCAGGCTGGGTGTGAGGCTTCAGGGAGGGGTGTGGATTGTAGCAGATAGAGAGCTCTTGCCCTCTCTGAACTGGGAACTGCTGCTTGGTCCTACCTGGTTCTCTTGTTTGTTTGAAACAGAGTCTTGCTGAGTTGCCCAAGCTGGAGTGCAGTGGCACGATCATGGCTCACTACAGCCGTAATCTCCTGGGCCGAAGCCATCCTCCTGCCTCAGGGTCCCAAATACCTGGGATGACAGGCATGCGCCACCATGCTTGGCTAATTTTTTATTTTTTGTAGAGAGGGTTTTGCCACGTTGCCCAGGCTGGTCTCAAACTCCTGGGCTCAAGTGATCCTCTTGCCTTGGCCTTCTACAGTGCTAGGATTACAGGTGTGTGCCACCACAGCTATTTCTTCACAGGCAGAAATATTGGCCTTGAGATGGCAAACCTCATTTATCAAGAGAATCTGAAAACATAGAGTTTTATGTGTAATCCCATTAGGAAATGAGGAGGCCTTTTTGTTTGTTTGTTTGTTTTTTGAGACGGAGTCTCGCTCTGTCGCCCAGGCTGCAGTGTGGTGGCGCGATCTCGGCTCACTGCAAGCTCCGCCTCCCGGGTTCACACCATTCTCCTGCCTCAGCCTCATGCCCAGCTAATTTTTTTTTTATTATTTTTTTTTCAGTAGAGACGGGGTTTCTCCGTGTTAGCCAGGTTGGTCTCAATCTCTTGACCTCGTGATCCACCCGCCTTGGCCTCCCAAAGTGCTGGGATTACAGGCGTGAGCCGCCGCGCCCGGCCGAGGAGGACTTATTTTTAAAAATGCTCTTCAGCCCAAACAAGACTTGTCTGCTAGCCCCATACAGCCCACGGGCCACCTGTTTTATACTTCTGTCCTACAATGACGATAATGATAGATATTAATGGTAGTTTTATTGTGCTTCTGCTGTATAGTAGCCTGTTGTATCCTGTTCATTATTGTTATTGTTATTATTTGTTTATTTTTTTTGAGATGGAGTCTCGCTCTGTCGCCCAGGCTGGAGTGCAGTGGTGTGATCTCAGGTCACTGTAAGCTCCGCCTCTCGGGTTCATACCGTTCTCCTGCCTCAGGTTCCCGAGTAGCTGGGACTACAGGTGCCCACCACCACGCCTGGCTAATTTTTTGCATTTTTAGTAGAGACAGGGTTTCACTGTGTTAGCCAGGATGGTCTCAATATCCTGACCTTGTGATCCGCCCGCCTTGGCCTCCCAAAGTGCTGGGATTACAGGCATGAGCCACCGCGCCCGGCCTCCTGTTCATTATCGTATCCCCAGAATCCAGCATCATGCTTGACATACTGTGAATGTCCAAGAAATATTTGTTGAATGAGTGAACAACTGATCTTAGTGAGGTTTTGGGTTCCAACAGAAGCAGACCCTTGTTTTTTTTTTTTTTTCTTTTTTTTTTGAGACGGAATCTCACACTGTTACCTGGCTGGAATACAGTGGTGCAATCTCAGCTCACTGCAACCTCCGCCTCCCGGGTTCAAGTGATTCTCCTGCCTCAGCCTTCCAAGTAGCTGGGATTACAGGAGCCCGCCACCACACCCGGCTAGTTTTTTTTTTTTTTTTTTTTTTTAATGTAGAGATAGGGTTTCATTATTTTGGCCAGGCTGGTCTTGAACTCCTGACCTTGTGATCCGCCTGCGTTGGCCTCCCAAAGTGCTGAGATTACAGGTGTGAGCCCCTGCACCTGGCCTGTAAGCACGTTTTAAGGGAGTGATCCCAGGAAGAACCAGTAGGGGAGAGAAGAAGTGAGGCAGGTGCTACAGGGGCCATGGTGGGCCACTGAGGATCAGTCTCACTGGAGACCCCTGGGAGTCAGCCTGGAACACCTCTGAGGTTGTCGTGTCCAGGGGTCAAGGGACCTGGAGTATGTATTTTCCAATCCCTCTGTCCTTGCCTGAGGCTGTTTGTGGGGTCATGAACATTCAGACTTTTCCATCCTGGCTGGCACCATGCTCAACAGAAGAAAGAAAATCCCGCTTCCTTTGTTCAGTGAAGAACAGAAGGAAAGAGAAGGACGGATGGCAGGGTGGGGGGTGGGGAGGAAAGGAGGAAGGGATCACTTTAATTGCAAGCACACCCTTTTTGGGGTACATAAGCAGAACAGCTGTGAAGAAACCCTCACCCAAATAAGCCACTTTGTTTCTAACACACACACAAATTCAAATCTACCCAAATATCGATCAGTGAGGCTCTAGGGTGTTGGCAGGGGGCCCCTTCTCTTGATCTTTGGCATATACTTGAGTGTTGGGCAGAGTGCTGACACTACCTACTGCTGGTGTGATCATCTTCCTGTATAGATGGAGAAAAAAGCAGAGGCTCAGAGAGGTGAAGTAACTTGTCCCAGGTCACACAGCAGTAAGTGGCAAAACTGGTATTTGAACCAAAATCTGGCCTATTACCCAACAGGTAGTGGGCCATGTTCTACAAGACCATTCTGGTGAAGAACCATGAAGGTGGGGAAGAAATCTGAGGCACAGGGACCACCCTTTGGAAGCTTCTGCTCTCTGTGGGGAGATGGGACACTGTGATCCAAGACTGGGGAGTGATGGGGTGCAGAGGGAGGCACTGGAGAGGAGGCCCAAGGTGTCCTGGAGGAGGTGCTGGTCTCAGCCCAAGCTTGAGATGGCCATGCGTTTGGGTGGGCTGATGAGAGGAGGTGAGGGTATTCTCAGCAGGGCACAGCATGGACAAAGGTTTGGAGGTGGGAAAAGCGTAGGATGTTGTGGGAGACATGTGGAAACTGACTTAGCACCGCCCTGTGCGATGTGGCAGCAGCAAATCAGGCCCCAGATTCCCCCTTTGCCACTTGCAGACTGAGTGAGGCAGGGCAAAACCTTTCACCTCCCTGCACCTGAGTTTTCTTGTCTGTAAAGGGGACTAGGTGGCCAGTCTGGACGTGGATGCTGCAGAAAGGAAACACTGGGATACTGTCAGTAGCGATCATGCAGTGAGGATTTGTCTCCAGTTTAGAGTGGGTATGTGGTGGAGTTAGGCTTTGAACCCATGTCTGTTCCCAAGAGGCCAAGTTCTCTTAACCACGCTCAGGATCATGCAGACTTGGCGTCTCAGTCTCCACGCTGCTACTTGCCTGCTGTGTGTAAAGCAGCCTCTTGGCCTCTCCTGGCCTCAGTTTCCCCACCAGAGTTAACAGGGATTCCTGCCCCAAAGCACTGTTACTAGACTGAATTGAAATAAAGCACCCAGCTTGGGCCACCCCCGTGTGCTTCCTGAGAAGGCTTTCACCTGTGCCTACCCGCGGGCTAATATCGTGGCAACAGTGGCAGAAGGAAGAGGCCGTGGAAATGCGACACTTTATCTGTTTGCCAGCACCTTGCTCAGGGCTTGCCGGTGGTGAGGGAGTCGGGATGTTGTGGAGGGGGGGATCCTGGGCTCAGCTCTGTCCCGCAGCCCAGCCTTGGATGCCTGCCCGGAGCACGCAGGCACCAGCAGCGCTGGTTGTCAGGGGATCTGTTTTCTCACCAAGAGATTGGGAAGCCTTGGACCAGCTTCCCGTTTCTCTCTTGTCTCCTGCCCAAAGGTCTTTGGTTCTCGATCTTAAAAAATATATAATAATAAATACATAAAAACATACCAATACAGAAGGAAAAAATGTTGGTTGTTAAAATTTCAAACCTTACAGGGGTATAGAAAATAAAAGGTGAGTGTTCCCCAGAGGCAGCCACCATTGCAGTTGTTTACGTCCTTTCTGACTTTTCTATATTGACAGTCACTGATCAATCATATATATATGTATAATTGTCATACTTTTCATATTGCAATAGTAGCGAATACTTGAGTAAAATTTGAAATACTGTAGAAAAATGGTGTAGAGAGAAAATCTCCTTTAAATACTGAGTGTGGTGCATAAACTGGGGAACACCCTCCAGGCCCATTAGTGGTTTTTAACCGTGGACAATTTTGTCCCCGGGGCACATTTGGCAGTGTCTGGAGACATATTTTGTTGTTGTCACACCCTGGGAAGAGGTTGCTATTAGCGTCTTGTGGGTAGAAGCCAAGCGTGCTGCCCAATATCCTACAAGGCACAAGACGGCCCCCACTGCAAAGAATGCTCCAGCCCCAAGTGTTTGCGGTTTGTAGGTTGAGGAACCCTGGTCTAGACACAGACATAGATATAGGTAAATGCATAGACTTAGATACAGGTAAATACATAAGCTTTCTATGGAAACACGACAACAGTCTATGGAAAATCTTGTGGCTTAGGGTTTTTTTTTTTTTTTTTTTTGAGACAGAGTTTGGCTCTTGTCGCCTAGGCTGGAGTGCAGTGGCACGATCTCGGCTCACTGCAACCCCTGCCTCCTGGGTTCAAGTGATTCTCCTGCCTCAGCCTCCTGAGTAGGTGGGACTACAGGTGCCCACCACCATGGCTGGCTAATTTTTTGTATCTTTAGTAGAGATGAGGTTTCACCATGTTGACCAGGCTGGTTTTGAACTCCTGGCCTCAAGCAATCTACCCGTCTTGGCCTCCCAAACTGCTAGGATTACAGGCGTGAGCCACCGCACCCGGCCTCCCCTTCCTCTTTTTAATGGTTGGTGATTATTGCATTATGTGACTGAGCCTAATCTGTTTTCACCTAGACCCTCACTGATGGGTATTTGGGTGGATTTGAATTTTTCTGTGTGTTAGAAACAGGGTTGCGCTGGATGCAGTGGCTCATATCTGTAATCCCAACACTTTGGGAGGCCGAGGCTGGAGGATCACTTGAGGTCACGAGTTCGAGACCAGTCTGGCCAACATGGTGAAACTCCATCTCTACTAAAAATACAAAACTTAGCTGGGTGTGGTGGCACATGCCTGTAATCCCAGGTACTCAGGAGGCTGAGGCAGGAGAATCGCTTGAACCTAG